AAAACGAGTCCTCCAATTTTGTTCTTTTTCAAGATTGTTTTAGCTTTCTGCATTCCTATTCTATTTCCACATTATTTTTAGGACTAACTCATTAATTTCTAACAAAAACCACATTAACTGTGATGTTAACTGTGGGTTTTTTATAGATGGCCTTTATTTGGTTGGGAAGGCCTTCCAGTCCTAGTTCATTGAGTGTTTTTGCCATGAAAAGGTATTGGGTATCATCTGTCCTAGGTAACTTTCTTCAGTGCCCGGGTGGTATGAAGTATAAGACAGGGGTTCTCAGGCTTTTGTTACATACAGGAATCACTCAGAGAACTTTAAAAAATACTGAGGCCTAGTCCAGAAACTCATTTAATTGGTCTTGGGTGTAGTGTGGGCATTGAGATATATAACCGTAACTGATTCTAACTTGCAGCCTAGATTGAGAGCCACCATGAAGAGATTGTACCGCCCCCAATTCTCCCTCCTTCCGCTTCAGTTCTGCTGATTTACAGCTGTAAATCAGTGTGACCAGTACATTTAAAATTTCTTTTATGTTATTTAATACTTCTTTCCTGGCCAGCGTGCCTCAGTGGTTGAGCATCCACCTATGATCCAGTAGATCACAGTTTGATTCCTGCTTGGGGCATGTACCTGGGCTGCGATTGATGATTCTCTCATCATTGACGTTTCTCTCTCTCTCTCTTCCTCTCTCTGAAATCAATAAAATCATATTAAAAAAATAATACTTCTTTTTCCTCCTTACAGTTTCATATGTCAGTAATCACTATGGTCCTCCTGACACTGATGACTGTAACACTGGATCCTCCTCAGAAATACCCGGACTTGTTTTCTGTATTGGTGTGTTTTGTGTCCTGCTTAAAATTCCTGTTCTTCTTGGTATACTTTAACATTATAGTCATGTGGGATTCAAAAAGTGCAAGAAATCAGAAGAAAATCGACTAGCTGTATCCACAAATGTGAAAACGTTAACAGTGCTAAAAGGTTTGGTGAATTTTTTGCGGTGTGTAAATGAAATGATCGTTTGAGTGTTATGGAATTATAGGGGAGGAGATGGTGGTGGTCATTGTTCTCTACACAAATAAAAGTATTTGGGCCAGTATGGCTCAGCAGTTGAGCACTGACCCAGGAACCAAGAGTTCCCTGGTTCAATTCCCAGTCAGGGCACATGCCCAGGTTGTGGGCTCGATCCCCAGTAGGGGGCGTGCAGGAGGCAGCCGATCGATGATGTTTCTCTCTCATCGATGTTTTTATCTCGGTCTCTCTTCCTTCCTATCTCTAAAAACCAATAAAAAGATATTTTTTAAAAAAGTATTTGGGGACCAAAGCCCAACGGAGGTTTTTATTTTCTAACTATTGATTGGCCAAGACATTGGAGTTTTGTTAATATGCAGTTATTCAAGTGGGAAAACAAAAAGTGTCCTTCATCCCAGTATTTACTTAGGAAATGTACTTACTCCATTATTTGTCGTCTTGAAACAATCTGCAAATACGGTGAGTTTAATGGGGGAACTTAGCCCCTTATTTTTAAAGGAAATTACTAATTTTGGTATTTAAATGTTTTCTTGCCCTGGCTGGGTAGCTCAGTTGGTTAGAGCGTCATTTTGAAACACCAAGGTTGTAGGTTTGATTCCCAGACAGGGCACATACAAGAATCAATAGGTAATGCATAAATAAGTGGGACAATAAATTGATGTTTCTCTCTCTCCCTTCTCTCTCTAAAATCAATCAATAAAAAATATTTTAAAAATGTCGTTTTCTTACATTTTAGAATGGAAGTAATATGTACTCCATTCTTTAGAAATTATATCTCCGGTATTAAACTTGTGATCATCTTTTAAATTACTATGAGAAGGCAATTTAAACTGCTTGAAGTTTTAACATGCCTTATTATATGTGAAAATTTGAATTTTTTTAACAAGGCAGAGACTAAACTGTGTTTTTTCCAAGAATGCCGATTTACTTGACTGTAATTAAACAATGAATTTTCCTGAATTTAAGTCTAAGTGGTATGAGTGAAGTCTCTTTATTACTCATGAGCACTAGGTTCTAAACTTCCAGGATCACTTTAAGTTAAATTCCCTTATGCAGGATGTCATCCTTCTTTTATATTCTAGGATGGTTCAAGGTTACCAGCGCCATGAGACTTGCATCACGCCTCATGTTAACTTGGCCCTGTTAATCCTGGACCACTCTATCTTAGCAGAAGCCCATCTTTACTCTATAATTCAAATGGTAAAAATAATGTATTATACCAGTGCTATAGTTTCTCATGGGAAGATGTGCTTTCTGTAGTCTGTGATAAAAATAAAACAGTCATTGTCCCATCAACATATATTTTTAACGAATATATTTCTTTTCTAAGACAGCCATTAAAGCAAATTAAGTGGTGGTGTATTTTTAAAAAAGGCAAGCCAAACACATACATACAAAGAAAATCTGGTTTTAGACATGGACAGCCACAGGCCGATGCAAGAAGGTATGTGTTTCTCAGTCTGAGAAAGGGAGAGGGTTTAGACAAAGCGAAAATCAAGAAGTATTTCTTTTTCCAAGTAAATGTGCATAAAGACTCAAAGGCCAGGTCCGCAGAGAAAAGCAGCCTTGAATCACTGCCGAATCAGCAGGAACATCGCTGTCCATGGTCACCATCTGTAATCAGTGTGCCCAAATGTCAGCCTCTTGGCTGGCTGGTGGGGTCTTATTTTTTTTATTTTTTGTATTAGTATAGTTCTGTTTAGCACAGGATGTTGATTTAAATCAATGATAAGGAAGTTCTAACTCCTGAATAACTGTAATAGAGAAATGTTACTTGAAAATAAAAGTATTATATAAACATTAATAAAAAAGAATGCACCCATATTCAAGGAATCTTACAGGTAAGTCCTGTAAATAAAGTATTTTCCAGAGGATTTAATCTAATATTGTTGAGTTACATTGTAGTTTTTATGGAGACTCATAGCAATTATCTTAAGTATTGCTTATATCTGTTAGAAACCAGGTTAAGAAGAGTCCACGCAGAACTTTGAGAGCTTAAGTTCCAAAATATCGAAAATGTCGAGTGAGGAATTAAGATCACAGAAACAGGCAATTCTGTCAGCTCTACCCAGGACTATTGGGATGTTTTAATACAAAATATTTAGGTTTTATAAAAATTTTGAAGATTTCTCACTTTCTTCACTAATATACCTGTCAAAAATGAACCCTTCTAAGTTATTTTCAAGTTCATTTTAGAGGGAAGGATTGTTTCTGAAATGCAGTTTTCTCTGTTGCCAATAAACTTAGGTTTGCTTCTTAAAATGAAGAGAATAGGGTGTATGTTCATGTATCAAATATGAGGTTCTGAAGTCATTTTCCCTTGAGCCCTTAGGGAGGGGAGAAAAATCCCCGATGTAGCATTCTGTCCAAATGATAAACCACAACTAAGTGAGTGAAACATTTACAAAAGTCAAGGCAGCCCAAGGAGCCTCTCTGTTCAATAGAAAGAGAGTAAGAGATGGATAGGATGTAACTAAATAATGGTTGGAGTAACACAATGGTTTCAAGTCTCAATTGGTCTTTCTTCTGTTATGTTCACTGGAAAATCAGGGCCAAGTGTATCCACCCCCCACCCCATATAAACATTAGTTTTGTGTGTGGATCTTTCTGCTTTGTCCTTCATGTGGCCTCCAAGGGTGATAAACCGAGAGTCATCTGATCTACAATGAAGAGAACTGAGAAATGATTCTTAGCAGCCCCAGCTGTTCTGAAAGGCAAAAGCTTAGTATATCAAGAGGTCAAATATACAGTAACTGATTTAATAGCATTAAGCACATACCTACATAACTTGGATTACATATGAAACAAATCTTCTTAACCCTTTATTTCCTTACTAATGTAGGTTTCTTTAGATGTTTTGACTTACATTCTAAGGTTTTTAGTGCTAAGGACACAAAGGAATTATCCTTTTTGGTACATTTTAGGTAATGTTCTATTATGAGGGCTGTATCACAAAGTGTTCTTAATATTTAGTAGATTATCTCAAAAATCTTATTTAAATAGTACCAATAAAATCATCAGAGAAGGCAATTAGATTTAATAGTTAATTGGGCTACTGTTTAGTATCTATGTCACTTAAATTAATAGTTTTTAAAAAATAACTTATTTTCATTTTAAGAGGTGAATTTTAAATTTCTCTAAATGGAAATTGTTATTTTCAACCTTAATTTATTAAATTTTGTTTCAGATTTTCAAATAGTATTTTTATTTTTGTGATACACTGAATTAAGTGACCTGGTAATATCTTATATAAATTTTAAGACTTAGAGCAAGTACCAAGGAGTAACATTTATTCCCTATAGAAAAACAATGTTATCAAGTTATAACACATTCTGTGATTCTCTCTTCCCCTTTATTTTGTGACAGCACCAACAGATGATATAAAACAACACCATAGTAAAACAGAAATCTAAATTAGTGCTTTAAAATAATTTGGAGGGAATTACACACTGTCCCATAAGAAAAATTCTCTTCTTTAAATTCAGTAATCTGTGTAGTTCAGTTTAAAAACAATTTAAGGGGAGGGGGCGGGAAGAGATTAACTAAAGAATTTATATGCACATATGCATAACCCATGGACACAGACAATAGTGTGGTGAAGGCCAGGGGAGGGAGTGAGGAGGAGGGGTTTTATGGGGGGAAAAAAGGGGGACATCTGTAATACTTTCAACAATAAAGATAAATTTAAAAAAAACTATTTTAATATCTTAATGCATCCCAGTATTTTATGAAAGGGGTAAAAATTTTAAAACTTTGAAAATATTCTCTACAATAAAAATAACTAGAGTATAATAAAAATTCATCCCTGAGATAGTAGCTACAAAATAAAATTCTAGATAAATTTTTAAAGTTTTTAACAAATCTAATTAATACACATCTGGGGCTTTAAATGGAAAAACTGGTACCTAATTCCACTCACCATTAGATTTAATGAGTTTTAAGATATATAGCTTTACCAAAGGTGCCATTTTCATAAATGCTTTATTAAGTCTATCCACAAATGCTACAAGTATACAGAAGTATACATGATATAGAATATAAGTCAAGATCCTTGTCTACATGTTGGCTTATTCATTAAAGGGTCAAGAAGAAATGTATTATTTACATTGAGATTATCTACTGGTGTGTGTAGAAAGTTTAAATTAGCTGCAAGAAATTTTATCTAGACATGCACCTGCCTAGTGCTGTGATCTGGTATTTACTGGGCAGATTAATTACAAACATTTCTTCTGTTCCTTTAAATATGATCAGGCAGATGCAGAGGTTGGTGGTCATAGTGCATTTCTTCTGAATGCCTAGAGGATATAAAAGATGATGATTATTAAATCATCAAGAATTAGTTTCCAAATTAACATGCATCTCATACATAAGAAATGATTTAAACACCCATTTGCCGTGTCATTTCATACCTTGTTTAGATACTGGTAATCTCATTTGCTTGTTTTTGAGTCTTCTAAGCAAGATTCACCTTCAGAAATAATTGTCAGTATGACTACTCTGACATAGCACTCCTCACTTTATGTGAATATGGATTTTGACATACTTCTGAGAGTGTTCTAAAACTACAACAGGACCTACTGAAAATACCAAAATCTACATGCCTTTTGTCTATGAGCCTTAAGGGCCATTCAGCAGGTGTTTCCTCCAACAGCTGCCCCCCAAAAAAGACAGTATTTACTGACATTCCTATCACAGTGTGTCCCTCTGGGGACTCCTAGTGGTGGTAGAAGCTCTTATCTGTTTGGCCTTAGGACCCTTGTGTGAAAGGAAGGTTTTAAAGAAAGCAGTCATTGGCAACTGATGGCACATATTCCCCTAGGGCATGTGGACCATTCACTTCTGAAATACCCCTTCCTTGGCTACATCGGAGTTCTGAAGAAGTAATGCATGATGGGCTGCTATTCTTGAGTCTACATATATTCTTCTTATCCTATAAGACAGGTTGCCAACTAGACTTGCCAATCAACTTCCACTAACTCTAGTTTGAGTCTGGTCTGAACCTCCATAGGAATTTTAAGCACTCTAGTGTTCACTTAATATCCTTGTAAGTTATTGATACACAGTTATAAGAACTAATGATAATATTATAGAAGAAAGGAAGACTGATTTATTAGTTACTATGGGGGAGGCACTAATTATTTTGTACCATCCCACAGGTAAATGTTATCGGTCCCATTTTTTAATCAAGGTTTAGGGGAATTAAGTATCTTGTTTAAGGCCACACAGCTAAGTAAGTAATATAGCTGGTGCTGTTTGAAAGTTAAATGGGGTATATCTAAAGCACTTATAACAGTGCCTGGCATACTGAAAGTGCTCAATAAATGTTAGCTGTTATTATAAGCTATTATTTTGTGTGTGCAACAGAACAAACATTTTAATGAATGAAGTGACATGATTTTCTATATAAGATGCTTTGCAGATATTTTAAGAAGAGCTAGTTTGTTAGGAAGCTGATATTAATCACTTAAGACACCATTTCTAAAGAAATGTATTTTCAGGATAGAACAGAATTCTTTCATTTTGCATTATTTCTAAGAGATAGCAGATAACATCTGGTTAGCTTCTAAGAGAATGAATACTGATGCCACTAAGTTTCGGATAATGTTGGTTCTTCATGTGGCCCTTCAGTTACAGGTACCGTAAACACTAACATCACATCATGACTCATACTGCTTCTAGCTAGCTAAGTTATAATAAGGTGTTTATAAATATATCATATTTTACTTGTATTGCCAAATGCACAGGAACTGTTTTGAAGAACAACTATTAATATATAATTATTTAATCAATTTAGCACATTTGCAAATTCATAGACTTGTATCTTGCTCAGTCAGAGGTGCCCTCTAACCCACCTCAGTATCTAATTAGCTATTTACACTAAAGGTGGTCAATTAAGGGTCCTCTTTACACTTACGTATAAATATGCTCCCTCTGACTTTGTCTTAATCTTCACCCGAGGATATTTTTTCCATTGCTTTTCACCGAGAGTCGAAGGGAGGGAGAGAAACGTTGATGTGAGAGAGACACATCGATTGGTTGCCTCCTGCACACACCCTGACTGGTGCCGGGATGGAGCCAGCAACTGAGGTATGTGCCCTTGACTGGAACCGAACCCGAGACCCTTCAGTCCACTGGCCGACACTCTAACCACTGAGCAGCCAGCTGGGGCCCGCTGACTTTTAAAGCTAGCCTAGTCAGTTCAACAGTGTTCTTTTTAATCAGTCTCTAACAGATTTTGTCAGACTGCCCTCCTATTATTTATAAGAACAGATTAAATATAATCAACTAAAGCTCCAAAGCACAAGGCCTATTTTCTTTGTAGACAGAACCAAATTTGATAATATAAGTAAAATGTTTCCACCTGAACAAGACAGTGAAATTTAACAAGGCTATACTCAATTAGAAAGGTGAAGCATTACCTCAATTTAAAATGGCTTGAAGGAATTCATAGCTGTCAAGATGACGTAACTCTATATGAAAGAAAAAAAATTTATTTTTTCAGAAAACAGTTCAGCATAAGTTGTCACAGTATATGATGCAGAATAAATGCTGAATCAAAATGAAATTAAAGACCCCAAACATAAAGTTTTACTTTATAATTAGCAGCTTTGGGGCTAATAAATTCTCATTTCAATAGCCTACTGATTCACCTGATTCTGTTTCAGAATGTATATTTAAAAATTTAGGATGAAAACTGCCAAGAGATTTATTATAAGGTATGGTTATGGTTTATTATAATTACTTGTCTTTTGTGCTAGATTCTGTGATCCCTGTCTTGTTCATTAGTGTATCCCCAATGCTGGAACAGTGCCTGGCTCATAGTAGGTATTCAATAAATGTTAAATGAATGAGGCATTAAGAAGACAGCAATTTGTAAGTATTTGAACATATTTCAGTAATTTAAAAATTCTTAGAGTGACCATTTGTTTTTATTCATTCACTGAACATGCATGTGGACCTTCTATCTGGGCTTTATAGTAGGTTGTGGGGCTACAATATAGAGATGACTTTTTGTAACCAGACAATCACAATACACTACAACACTGCAACATGATACATTTATAAACATTCAGACAAGTGTAGAAGTCTAGAAGATGAAGCAATTTAGCTTTACCTAGGTGAGCTGGGGAGAGTCTCACAGAGGATGTGACATCTGAGACTGGCTTTAAAGAATGAGCAGAAGTTTACTAGACAGAGAAGAAAGAGCAATCCAGGTAGAGAGAGAAGCAGTAGAGAGGCCTGGAGTCCCAAAAGAGAGATTCTAGCATATGGTGGGAATAGTATGAATTGAAATGATTACTTTCCTCCTATGTGAGGTCTGAGCTAAAGGGAAATCACTTAACATTTACTTACTATACAGGTCCTGCTTTAAACTATATAGTTAGCTATATTAACACTATACATATCTACTTTATTATTATGTATGTATTTAAAATATATGAACCACTTAGAAAATTTAATTAACTCTTTTTTTGAAGAGCTTTTCTCACTACTCTAAGAGTTAAAATGAAAAAAAAAAGTGTTCACCTGTCAGGTAACATAAAACCAATTTCTACTAAATGTGCCAGAAGAATTTTTCTCCACCTCAAGAACAGTTAGTCTTCAGTCTGTTCATTACTGTCTTTTTATAGTATTTTTATTTAATAAAACCTATTAAGACTACCATACAAATCTCTTTACTTATGCTTTTATCTTTTAGCTGATCAATTTTTATATTGCTGACATCCCTTCTTCACCATTTGCTCATTTAAAAATTCATAGTATGTGAGATATGTCTCTGGAGAAAATGTCTATAAAATTTGTTACAGCTGGCAAATGTGTATGAGTCAGTGATAGCACATGACTAAATGCTTCACAGAAAATAAAATTTGTTTCTGTAGTAAGCAGAACTGTTTAAATGTTATTTATTTTTATGTTTCAAAGAAAATATATTGTGAAGTGCTGCATTGATTTAATACGCAACAATGTCTGTGTACACGCTGTAGAAAGAAAATTTATGAAACCTTTGCACAACTCCTTTAATTGAATTTTCCAAATCTCTCACCACACACAAATAATCAATATCTTCTGCAGAGAAAACCAGTCAGAATTATTACAGTCTTTCGTTTCAATTTTGTTGTCATCAGCACATACAGAGCACCTGGATATTTGTAATGTCTGATAGCAGGTTATTTATACCTCTTAAACACATAATTGCTATTAAATGAGTTCAAGTCTATGGTTTAATTTTTTTTTTCACTGCTTACTTACTTAAAAGATAAAAATTATCATACTTCTAAATCATGGAAAAAAATTCCTTAAAAGGCTGTGAAAAGTAATAAAGCAGTTTGTTTTTCCTTAAATCCTAGGCAAATGTCAAGTAAGCAGTAGAAACGTACCCCCAAAACAGTGATGAATAATGTAAAAAGGAGCATTAACATTATAAAGAGGAAAGGTCTGACCCACGCACAGCTTACATGACAGCTGAACCCTTACAAAGAGCTGAGGACCACAGTTGTACGTACATTAATGTATATTTGTGACCAAAACTATTATCTTTTTAAAAAAATCTCCATATAAACTTAGAATGTTAAAGCACAGAGGGAATTTTTGTTGTTTCTCTTAATGTCTAAACTTTAAACCTCAGTACTTTTAAAACTGAAGTATTTGTTTGAAAAATCATATTGTTTAATGTTAAGATATAATAGAAAAAGCTAAAAGGGTAGTAGTCTTTTAAGAGTAAAATTATTTAGCTGATTTTTTCAAGACTGAGTGGGAGAAAGAACAACATATTTTTAAGTTGAAAAATACTTCAGTGGGTGGTTAGAATGAAAAGGCAATATCAAACTATTTTATAGTCTTAGAACAGAAGAAGTTTAAAATTTGTCCTGTAGTCCAAAAATTTGAAAACTTTAAAATCTTATAACCAAGATGAATTTTACAATGTAAGAAGACAGTAAGTTAGCTGAAGAAAACAGAATATAGTCTGTGCTTTTCTTTTTAAGGCTAGAGATAGAAATTCTGAAATATTTTGTATTACAAACAGCTGAAACAAGCAACTTTTTTGAACAATGTAAAGTTCAGATGGTTAACATTTCATTTAAAATATGCATACTACAACCTACACAATTATTCTCAAAAATGATAAAATATGTTTTGGACTGAAGCTAAGTGTCTAGATTTCATATCTTGGCAACTGCTCTACAATTTGCTTACATTCTTTTCAAAAACATTTTGTTTACTGGAAGTACTAGCCACAGACAAACAATGATGGTATTTTCTAATATCTCCAGAAAAAATGAAAATACTTAGTACCACATAATGCCATCTATTGACTTAGGAATATTTGTATCAAGTTGTTTTAAGTTGAGGTTGATTATGTAAAGTAAATTTCATGCCTTACCATGTGATGATACTGTGACATTCCATCTCTATCAAACCATTGAATGGTCATATGTTTTAAATGTTCAGCATAACAAATTAAAAATAATTATGAAAATTCACATCCAAATGTAATAGAAAAAGAACCTTTCATTTCATTATTTTTCTAATAGTCATAAAGCCAATATTATCAAGGAAAGTGAAGTTAGGCTTACTTCCTAAGTAACTTAAAAAAGAAAGAAGCGTTCCTTTGTTTAAAATCTGCAGTTGGCAGAGGAGATCCTCTTTTACTTACACTATCAAGGCATTCCCTGATTTGCAAGGTCCAGTTCTTCTGAAAATGATAAAAATCTCAGTGTACCATTAAAAATTTTTTTGAATAAGTCATAAAAAGCCTTAAGAATGTGTGTCAGATGTGTATTTATTTAAAACACTAGAGTGTTATTTTTACAAGTATACTCTTCTGCCGTAATAAAGACTGCAACTGATGCTAACCAAGCTAGCACTGAAACTGAAAAACTATACATCTAGGGGACCAATTTGAAGGGGGAACTATAGCAAAAGTGTTGGAATGCTCCTGGTATTGTCTACTTTAACTATTCTAGGAAAATTTATAAGAATTTGAAGGACATTCTTTTGATAGTGAAACAAGTAATTTGTTTATTCTCATTTCATAATTACCTAATAAAAGAAATCCAATACATATTATAGGGCTGATTTTTATATTACATATTTCCTAACTATGTAACTTTTAATATTATGACGATTCCCAAAACATTTTTAAATTTAGACAATTCTGGGTAACAGCAAACGAAAAGAGTAAAGTAGAAATTTCTATAAAAAGCTGAAGGCCAGATCCCCAAATAAGAAACATATAAAGCAAACTAGTTTGAGATGTTGAAAGAAAACTAACAAAGTCCTCTAAAGGTGAATGTATAAATAGGATGGGTTTAAAGTTATTAACTCAGAAAAAAGTCTACACATATATGTGCATATATTGCCATACATCATTTTTAACCAAAAATAAAAAAAAAAAGCCACCAAAAAAAAAATACACATAATATTAGGAACCAGAGTAAGAAGAAAAGCACCCAGTAAAAATATATAGCTCAGCTCTACCCCATTAGTTCAGTTGGTTAGAGCGTCGTTCTGATATGCCAATGTAGCGGGTCCATTCTCAGGGCAAATCAATCAATGAACGCATAAATAAGTGGGACAACAAATCAATGTTTCTCTCAATAAAAAATTAAAAAATGTATATATATATAGCTCAACCTCCAATTAAAAAGAAAATAAGCTTCAATCTATTTTTCAGGCACTACTTCAAAATAGTTAAAAAGTTAAAGAAGGTTTGAATACCTTAGCAAATATAAAGAGCTAGTGTAGCTCTTGCCAAGAAACAGAAAGGGAAAATGATATATATGCTAGTATATACAATATACACATGATATATAACATATATATAATATATACATAACATGTTACATACTATATATTAACTCAGTTTTCATTTAAACCATAACAAATAATCAATGCTTATTAGAAATTTAAAAACATAATATAATAATATAATCTCTCTGCACAAAGAAATACTTAGTCTTTCGGGGAAATGTCATAATGGGCAAGTCAGTTTTGTGTTTTTTTTAAATATGTTTTTATTGATTTTAGAGAAAGAAGAAGGGAGAGGGAGAAATGGAAACATCAGTGAGAGAGAAACATCTATCGGCTGCCTCCTACATGCCCCCAACTGGGGATTGAGCCCGAAACCTGGGCATGCGCCCTAACTGGGAATCAAACCCATGACCTCTTGGTGCATGGGTCAATCACTGAGCAGCACCGGCCAGGCTGGGCAAGTCAGTTTTAATGCCTAAAACATTAGAAAATAGATTTAAGATTGATCATCATAAACGCACAAAGAATCAGTATATACTGTTTAACTGAAAGGTGAGAACTGTTTTAACACATGGAAATAACTTTAATGTCTTCAATGTTTAGGGAAGGAAACAACTGATTTGGAAATTTTTCTCCATTAATTTTTAGCAGCGACAATTCACTGATTTGTTCTACAACTTTCCCTACCTCAGTTCTCAAAACTGTTGGCAGAAGCCAACTATATAAAGTCTAATTCTAATTAGTTCCAGGAAATTACAGATTTAAAAGAAAATCACACAACTGGCAGAATATATAGACTCAAGATTTCCTCTAACTGGAAAATAATAAACTTTACAATGTCCTATTAGAAACTTGTCAAGTTTGGAGAGATTGAAACCACTGAAACCCATATGTGAAGTTCTACAGCATTGGATAAAAGGAATCTCAAGCCTATTCTAAGAAAGGGCTACCTTCATGTTCTTCAATTCTTGGGATCACAACAGAAGTTAGCTGCTTGACTGAATGGCTCACGAAGCCTGCTCAGCTCCCTTCCCACATGAGTTCTGGAGGAGACTTGACATGGCTGCTGGCCTGCCATGACTTAGTTGGCTTTTGGAACTGACCAGCAGGGAATCCTAGTACTTTCCACTGCAAACTCATCACCAGCTGTTAAAGATCCTAAACCACAGTCTAACATAATACCTAGATTGGCTGAACCAGTTTCAGTTATGCCTCATGTTTGAATATGAAAAGTGGGATGACTGGATGATTTGACTTGTTTTAGGAAGAGGCAATAGGGAATAATGAGAAGATCATACTTTCTAAGATCAGACTGGTCTTTAGTTGGAATCCCTTCTCTGAGACTTAAGTAGCAGTTTCTTTAGGCAAGTTATTTAACATTTTCTATGTTCTTGTTCCTTATCTATAATGGCAATAATAACAGCTATCTTGCAGAGTTGCTGTGAAGATCTGCTGATCCTAGTAATAATCATAGCAATTATTGGTCCTCAATAAATGGCAGTCATTGGTACTCAAAAATGGCAGACTAAAACATGGCTACTCATTTCAAGGCCTGCCTCTGCAGAGACTGCTAACTGCCATTCATGTCATAATATTAAAATGATGCCAGTTAAGTTGGTTAAAGGTTTTAATATTTAACGGTCCATGGTTATTTTGCTTACTGAGGTGTGGCTGTGCATGTGTTATGGGAACTTAAAACCTACTAATTTCATAACCCATACTTTGAAATGCTCAGAGGCCTGAGTTAATAGTAGATCCAACATCATTAATGATATGAGTTTTTAGAACACTGGTTCCAAAGTAACTCTATGCTTTGTGTCTCCTTCTAATTCACCATTTAAAGCTGCTGTATATTAATGCATTGTTGCCCTATTTGTCTGGATTCTTGAAAACAACTTTTAATAAAACTACAAAAATTAAATCTTAAACTGAAACTTTTATTTTAAAAGATATTTTAAAAGTTCAGTCATCAAGGAAGTTGAGCTCATCAGACATGGTCTTCTGCTAAATGCAATATAAAATTTTTCAAATGAGATTCCTGGTCTTTTAAGAGTGTACTAAAAGACTCATAATGATTGGTTTTAAATGGAAAAATGAGATGAGAGGATCTCTTTTATATAATAAATTGAAACACAACTTTTTACCTTTGTTAGAAAGTTCTGAACTCTTCTTTTCAAACAGTTTTTGTATTATTACTTTTGTCACTAGAAGAAAAACAATCTCATGTTAAGAATGAACGTGGAACATGAATAATTTCTCATCTTGGAAGAAACAACTTCATGAAAAAAATAATTCAGAGCAATACATATGCATAGGTATCAAGTACAAAATGCAATACCTTGTTATACCTTATTTTAAGAATAAGCACTACATAAAAAAGCCCAATTCCAGTTGTGAAGGTACATTCTTTCTCTTTACATTCAAGAGGAATCTCTGAAATAACATATCCTGGTAAAAGATACGTGGCTTCTTATTCTTTAAATAATACTTCTATCACATGTCCAGTAGTGAGATATATAAAGAAGTCTGTCAAATTTAAATTTGGGAAAAATTGATAGGCTTATCTTTAAAGTTGAAAATATTTATCTAAGTATGCAAACAAGGAATGGAAAGACACCACTGTAAACTCATAAAGTCTTACATAGTTCTTTTGTTTTCTTCAACTCTCTTTTTAAGAAACATGGTCCATAGGAGATACCAATTAGATTTTCAAGCTTCCTACTGTTTTCCAAAGCCTAAAAGAAAGTAATTTAAAATGAGTTACGTAAGTTCTCTTCAAATATAGTATTACTAACAAATCTAATGAAAATACTGTTTCCTTCATCTGAAAAACTTAAACTCTACAGTAGGAAATTTAACAATTTTTGGTAGGTTAACTATTATGAGCTTTAAAATGCCTGAATAAAAATGACTTATTAACTAAAAAGACTAAACATAATCTACAAATTTACTTTTAAATGTGAAAAAGCCAAATATTACTAAAATATAATGAATTATTAATTTTTATAAAAGAAAAGAAATTCCCATGAAAAGTAAATTAAACATATCTCCTGCAAACTGTTTCCTGAATTGGATTCTTTAATCTGGGGCTTCTCTCTTATTCTACATTTTCAAATGGGGTAGAAATATAAAATATTATATATGCCATATATGCCAAAAAATTGGATAATATGGACTAAAAGGAAAATTCCTAGAAACATGCAATCTTCTAAAACTGAAGCAGGAAGAACCAGAGAATCTAAATAGACAGATTACAACTAGTGAAATTGAAGCAGTAATAAAAAATTCCCAACAAACCAAAGTTGTGGATAGGATGGCCTCATAGAAGAATTTTACCAAACATTCAAAGAACTAATACCTACCATTTTCAAATTATTCCACAAAATTCAAGAGGAAGGAAGACTCCTAAGCTCTTTTCTAAGGACAGCATTATCCTAATTCCAAAACCAGATACTGACACTGCACTTAGCATAATATTCTTCAGGTACATCCATGCTCTCACAAAGGATACATTTTTCTTTCTTTTATGGCCAAGTAGTATTTCACTGTGTAAATGTACCACAGCTGTTTATCCATTCATCTACTGATGGACACTTGGGCTGCTTTCAAATCTTGGCTATTGTAAATAACACTGTAATTAACACAGGGTTGCACATATTCTTTCAAATTAGTGGTTTGGGTTTCTTCTGATAAATTCCCAGAAGAAAAACAGCTGGGTTCATAAGGCAGTTCCATTTAAAATTTTTTGAGATAACTCCATATTGCTTTCCACAGTAGCTGTACCAATCTGCATTCCCACCAACAGTAAGAAAAAGAAAAAAAAAAGACACTACAAAGAAAGAAAATTATAAGCCAATATCCCTGATGAACACAGATGCTAAAATCCTCAACAAAATATTAGCAGTACCTGCAAATCAATAAACGTGATCACCACATAAACAAAATGAAGTATAAAAATCACATGATCATATCAATAGATGCAGAAAAATCATTTGATAAAATCTAGCACTCGTTTATGACAAAAACTCTCAGCAAAGTGGGAATAGAGGGGACATATGTCAACACAATAAAGGCCACATACTACAAACCTACAGTCAACATCACATTCAATGAGCAAAAACTAAAAGCATTTCCCTTAAGACTCGGAACAAGGCAGGAATGTCCTCCTCTCTCACCACTCTTACTCAACATAGTACTGGAAGTCTGAGTCACAGCAGTGAGACAAGAAGAAGAAATAAGAGGCATCCAAAGTGGAAAAGCAGTAAACTTGTCATTATTCACAAATAACATGNCTCGGAACAAGGCAGGAATGTCCTCCTCTCTCACCACTCTTACTCAACATAGTACTGGAAGTCTGAGTCACAGCAGTGAGACAAGAAGAAGAAATAAGAGGCATCCAAAGTGGAAAAGCAGTAAACTTGTCGTTATTCACAAATAACATATTATATGTAGAGAACCCTAAAGATTCCACCAAAAAACTACTAGAACTGAGAAATGATTTCAGTAAAGTAGCAGAATACAAAATAAATATCAATATAGAAATCAATTGCATTTCTATACACCAATAATGAACTATCAGAAAGGGAAACTAAGAAAACAATCCCATTTACAATTACATCAAAAAATATATAAGATGCCAAAAGAAAAGCAAACCTGTGTAATACTTAAACTTTGAATTATTTTCACGATTTCCTCTGATGATTTCTCAACTTTAGATAGCAACACCATTAATCTGTGAATAAAAAAATATATATTTAGCAAGATTAAGCATTTAAACACAAGTCATTTTCAGAGCTTTAATTCTTTTTAAAGAATTTTACATTCAGTTTTTATTCCTTTTCTTTACATTTTCAAAGTGGTTACAGATGTAAACACTCCTTCATTCTTTCATTCCTTTACAAGATAATATATTATCAACCACCCTGTCTTTTGGAGTTTCACTTTTTCTCATTCCCACTGAGCAGTAGGAGAAAAGATTGCAGACCTAAGAAATGTCCAAGCCTGTAGAGGATTTTTATTAAAAGTTTATTTGAGGCAAACTGGCAACATGTTGGAAAGCATGATCTCAACTGCTCCTGGAGAATGACAGTTTGCTGTTTCTTTTACACATTTGGAATTAAGGAGAGAACATAAAAAGATTATATGAAGGTGGAAGAAAGCAAAGTACAGAATAGTTAACAAGATTATGTTCTTTCTTTTGGGTGGTCACACCTTCAAGGGGTCTGGGAGGGAGGATTGCTTCTGACAGTTCAAAGGTGTGTTAACCTAGATACACAAGAATAACAGACAGGGCTTAAGTTATAGTCCTGTGGCATGAAAATCCACTGTGACCTGCCCAGTTATGAATTTATGATCAGATCAACCTGTGAGGTTAATTTCAGTTAGATTTATTACAGAGTCCCCTTTTCATCCATAAGATATAGTTGGCTTATTTCTTTTCCCACAATACCAAGTTTGAAATCATTAATAGACCATTGTCTCCTTATTTACCTAGATCTAAGTCTATGAATCACTGTTACCCAGTGATTTCTTTTAAAATAAAAAAGTAAGTTTTTGGCTTTAATCTATTACAGTGTTAAAAAGATACAAAGGCACTCTCAAATTTGAAAACAAAGGAAACTTCACTTGTAATCCTAATTCCTGAACATATCTCTAGTTAGCATTCTGGAAAAATTTCTTAGTTTTTTTTTTTTTTTAAACATTTCTGTAACTTTATATAATACTTTCTTTGCTTAATATAACATTACACACACACACACACACACATATATATGGCACATCATCCATAATATTGTACCTAGTAAACATACCAAAGATGATTTAATCATTCCCTCATTGCTGCAATTTTAATTTCTTTTCCAATTTTAAAATCTCATAGCTATATATGATAATCTACGCCAGTGCAGTTTAATAGAATTAATATTCCACTGTGTGTGTAAATATATATATACTGCATTTCCTTTATCCTTTCATCCATTAATAGACATGCTGTTTTCGTATCTTGACTATTGTCAATAATGCTGTTGTGAACAGAGGTGAGTGCATATATGTTTTCAAGTTAGTGTTTTCTTTTTCTTTCAAGTTTATTCTTCTGCATGTAGAAATCCTGTTGTTTCAGATCGATTGGCCATAGATGTATGGGTTTATTTTTGGACTCTCAATTCTACTCCATTGATCTATATATATGACTATTCTTATGCCAGTACCATACTGATTTAATTATAGTAGGTTTGTAGTGAATTTTGAAATCAGGAAGTGTGAACTCTCTGACTTTTTCTTTTTCAAGATTGTTTGGGTTATTTGGGGTCACTTACAGTTGTGGGATTTTTCCCCCCAAATTGAAATATATTTAACATATTGTATAAATTTAAAGTATAAAACATGTTAATTTGCTAAATTTTTATGTTGTGGTATGACTGCCACTGTAGTGATAATTAGCACCTCTGTCATGTTATGTAATTATCATTTCTTCTTAGTGGATGGAATACTACGTTCTAGTCTTAGCAAATTTGAAGATTATAATAACAAATACTGTTGTCTACATTCACTATGCATTAGATCTTTAGGACTTATTTGTTACTTGTTGCAAGTTTTGTATGCTTAAACATCTGTTCTATCCCCCATGCCCCATCCCCTAGCAAACACTATTTTACTCTGTTTTTAGGAGTTTGTTTTTTTTAAGATTCTACAGATAAGTGATATCATTTAGTATTTGTCTTTCTCCATCTGACTTATGTCACACAGCATAATGTCCTTAATCTTCACCCATACCATTTTATATGAATTTGAGGACAGGCTTTTCCATTTAAATGATGGAATTTGATAGGGATCACAATAAATCTGTAGATCATGTTGGGTGGAGGTATTAACATCTTAATAATATTAAATGTTCCTACCCATGAACAAAAAATGTCTTTCCATTTATTTAAATCTGTAATTTCTCTCAGCAATGCTTTGTAATTTCAAGTGCACAAGTCTTTCACCTCTTTAGTTACATTTATACTAGGTATTTTAGATGCTACGTAAATGAAACTGCTTCCTTAATTTCCTTTTCAAACTGTTCTGCAGGTGCATAGAAACACAACTGATTTTTATGTGTTGATCTTGTACCCTATAATTTTGCTTTATTATCTCTAGTAGCTTCATGTGCATTCTTTGGGATTTCCTATATATAGGATTGTGTCCTCTGCAAATACAAATAGTTTTTTATTTCTTCCTTTCCAATTGCTACTTGAAAGCTCATTGATATTTTTTTTTAGCTTTAATGTTTGAAATTTATTTCAATTTTTGTGCAACTATACAAAATTACATCAAGTGGCATTCATAGAAGCTCAGTAAAACATTAGGTACTGAAGAATACTTATCATCAGACCAAATAAGCTTTTAAAAAAATTGCATTTAAGTTACAAAAGCTGAAAATATAAAACACTGCAAAGAAGTGGCAATCTATTAATTGGGTAAATAAAAAAGAACGGAAACAATGTCAACAATCAATCATTTATTTAACACGGTAGATTTCTAAATTAAAGGAGTATCTATCAGAGTGTGAGGAGGCTGGCTTTGTTGGCAGCTTGAAACTACACAGCTCAGACACGACCCTTTAACAAAGGAGCTTCTAACTTAGGATATTTAGGAAATTCACATGTGGCTTGTGGAACTAGCTGAGTTGAGATTCAGTCTTGTCTCTGGATATATAGTCAATTTAAACCTGGAAATCTCTTCCCAGGATCCTTACTTAAGTGAGGTCATGCCAAACACAACCTTCCCAGCACGAGTTTTCAGAAAATAGCTCACAAAAGAGCTAATTTTTAAAAATCTGTAGCTGTAAGGAAATTGATGGGTTGAGAAGAATAAATAAGGGAAAAAATCATAAAAAGTTAGAATAGCTTAAGTGGAGCTGATTCAGGGGGAAAGCAACAGATAAGTCTAGCTTGCTTATTCTTGCTCGAAAACATTTCCTCCTTCATTGCTTACTTTCACTTCTAAGTTTGTAATACTTCATATAGCTGTATCAGATATTCATTTGATTTAGCAGGTATCTGCTTTCAAATACAAGATTATATATGATCCAAAAATTGTTACTTGCAATTTGCTTTCATTACATGTCCTTTTGTACAATTTGAAGGTTTTTTTTTTTTACTATGTACATATATTGTTTATTTTAAAATAAGTTAAACAAAAACGCTTATATTTTTATTTTAAGATACAATAAGTTAAACAAAAACACTTTCCTCGTAATATCTAGTTGAGATAGGTATCATTGAGGAAATGGGAACTTTGATTAGTGGGAGGAAGGAGCAGTAATTTATAACAAAAGTATTTTGGGATAGGGCACATGAAAAATATTTGGAGCTGGGGGGAGCATGGCTGGGGAAAGTAGCTAAGAAGAGCAGATAAAGGGGTATAGTGATAAATGTAGGAGATGTCAAACAAGGAGACTTCTTTGAGGAACTCTTCCCTGTAACCCTAGTGTACTCTAAATGGCACTCATTTTCTATCTTTTAATACATTATGAAAGTTCAGCTACATTATGAAAAAAATTGACTTGTGGCCCTCACCTGGGGGTATAACTACAAATTACAACACTATTTATATGAAAAATTCATTCTGAGTTCCACCCAAATGATTTAAAAACATTTTGAAACATTACCCACAACCCATTTCTAAAGTGAGGAAGGGATATTAACATAAGACCATAAGCTCACAATGGGTAGAAACTTCATTTTTCTCATATCTACCCATTCATCATATTGTGCGGCACACAGAAGATATACAGTTAAAAGGGTAAATGAGCTGAACATATGAACTATTTTGAAAATTTAATCCCTGTTCTCCTTAATTCAGTTTTCCCGGCCTCAGTGAATAAATATTCTTTCTAGAATACACAGGCAGTGGCTTTCTACAGGTCATCCAAGGCACTATGGGCAGTCCAATATGAAAATGGTTGGTTGCAGGCATGTAGCCTTCTAGGTTCCTCTAGATCCCTTACTCTGCTGGTTTCACTGTGTTCTTAGCTTTTGAACCAGCTACTTGTTAGGCATTATGTTCCCAGACAACATATTACCTCTCTATCCATGTAAATCTGACAAGTGTTCCTCAGTTCTACCCTAAGCTGGTCTCGTATGTATTAGCTTGGGGAAACTGGGCTCAATGAGTATTAAAATTAAGGTATCATATATCACCATCATCTGAACACTGTAAAACACATCACAAATAAAGTATTTTACTTCTTTAAGAAAGAATACTTCAACTCAGGTATAACTATTTACTGATTTCTGCAAAGAAAATATTTCTTAAATTATCACTAACAAATATGACCTTTTCTTTTAAGACGCATTTATATTATTTCAAAAACAACAAACTTACTGATCGTTTTCTGCTGTAGATGCCTTTCTTTTGGTTACACTGGGATGATCCGATTTTCCCCTCTTTCCTGTATGTGTACAATAAAAAGAAAAACATAGGGGGGAAATTGCCAATTTTAAATAAAATTTAGATCACCAAATTTTAAATAGAAAATAAAAGGGTAGATAAATGAAAGTAGAAAAAGAAAAAGTATCCTGAAATTTGTTATGAGAAAAGAATTTCACTATTATGGGTAACTTTTCAATAGCTATTTTATTTTTTTCATTTCCTATTCTATTTTTTATTCATGATGAAGGACATTATATAGAAAAACCAATCTTTTAAAAAAATTTTCACTGGGGCTCAGTATAATAAAGAGAAAACTAGAGAAACTAAGTTATCCTGCATATGTGTGCAGGAAGTTTGACTTCATAGCTCTAGTAGAACGTGATGTTTACACTTACCACTGGCCAAGTAAACAACTATTTTATGAACTAACCATTTAGTTGTTTGTTCTATAGTATTTTATAGTACAATATAGATTCCATGCTTTAAACATATTTGACATATAGTAAGTATTTGAGGATACATTAGCATACTTAAAGGTTCTCAGTGTCTTACATATGTGGCCTTTGATAACTGTTGATTGAACGAATAAAAAAGCGAATGGATAATCCAAATTCCTTACTACTCATTAATGACAAACAGTAAAGTGAAATTATTTTTTTAAATGTATAAATGATAACACCCCCCCCACACACACTACTACATATTTTTATGTAATTCCATTTGTTCAACAACTGGCACAGGAAATATTATTTACTCAATTATTATTTTCTCATTATTTTTCTAAAAAACTGTTTGGTACAATGTATCATGAAAAACTATCTGACTATCCAACAGAAATAAAATGTGAGCCACTTAATGTAATTTAAAATCTTCTACTAGCAAAATTTTTAAAAAGGAAAAATTGGTGAAATAAATATAATATTTCACTTACTCTAACATACCCCAAATATTACAACTTTAAGAATATAGAATATAAAATTATTATTGAGATAATTTTCTTTTCTCACACTAAATCTTTGATATGTAGTATATATTTTATACTTATGGCACATCTCAATTCAGATGAGCCACATTCCAAGCGCTCCATATCTACATATATTGAAGAGTATAGCTGTAGGATAATGCTGCAGGAGGATCCAATACTTTCAGATAAAGTCAAATGTATAGATAAAGTAAATGCAATTCCTTTAAATTTTCAAATGTAATTTATTAACGTATTAAGAAAAATATTGTCTGGAATTGACTTTCCAATGCTGGTTTACAATTTTTTCTTCATTTAATTTTTATTCCACTAATCTTACTTGTTTCTATTACTAGGGGAAAATCTTACTTAAAATATATTTTCTATGCTCTGGTATTTATAATTTTAATAAGTTGGTTCACAAACTGATTAATAATAATTTCCACATTGTTACTTTGAACATTATCCCTTCTCTCAAAAAAAATACCATAAATAAGTTGTCATCTCAAAATAGACAATGCCAAAAAAGAAAAACTTGTGATTTAGAAATTTTAATAAAGTACTAGTTATCTTTCTTGTTTAACTTTTCATTACTTGACTTGTCTGTATCCTTAATTCCAAACAGAATAAACTAATATGGTTAAGAATTTATTTAATGAAGGATAGAAGGGTAAAAAGGTAACATTTGGATTTGGGGGAACTTTGAGGACATAAGTCGATAAAATCTGTCTCTCTAAAGAAAATAATCAAGCTGGAAATGTTTGTTTTGTAGAAGCTCACAAATGAAAACCCATGGTACACATTAAACCTTTATTTCAGAAAATTAGTATTAGCTAAGTTCCTAAATTTTGTACTATGCTGACTGCATTCAATAAAGCTCCCCAACTAAATATTAAAATTACTCTGTTCTTGCCCTGCCTAGGTACCTCACTTGGTCTGAATACTGTCCCAGTACGGCAAGGCTGCGGGTTTGATCCCTGGTCAGGGCACACACAAGAATCAGTTAATGACTGCATAAATAAGTGGAACAACAAATCGATGTTTTTCTCTCTCTCAAATCAATAAATAAAAATTAAATTAAAATAAAATTACCTGGTTCTTTTATCTAATTAATTTTCACATTTTAGCACCTCCGCAATGTTAGGTGAGAAATAGTAAAAGAAAGTTTTATTTGAATTTTCACCAGTTGTTCAGCACATTTCTAAACATTTATTATTGTAATAGGATTAGTCAAATATCATACTATAAAATGTAATCAATAGCATTAATCTCAATCTTTTCATGGAAGGACTTACGTTTTTAATATATATTTCCAACTGTTAAAGAGGAGGAATTTTAATGTTTCTAAGAATAACATCTGGATCAGTTATCAAAGACTGTTGAGCAGACTCTAATACATCATTAAAAGTCTTCCAGTTACTTAATAATTACTTTCCTTTATTTCATTCTATTCTATTAGCAATTAACATATGCTAAAGGGCTATGGATTCTATATGGCCTTTTTCTCACTAGGTAATAAACAGTTGTGTACTTGACTCCCTTTAAATGCAGTTTTGCAAAACACTGGTAATGAATGTACCATCACTAAATCTAGATGACATTCAAAATTGTATTTGGACTTTCCAGTAAGGCTCCAGAGAGCCCTTCCCTAACTAATGAAGATAGCTTTCAACAGATCATGACATTTAGAAGTACAACTAATGATGATGATGATGATAATGCCTAATACTTATACAGTATTTTTAGGGCTAGGCACTGTTTTATATGTTACATATATTAACTAGTTAATCTGCGCAACTCTGAGGTAGTCACTCTTATTCTCATTTTACAGATGAGGAAATAAAAGAATAGAATGGCTACATAATTTATCCAAGGTCCTAAAGCTAGTAGGAGGCAGTCAGGATCTAAACCCAGCCACCTGGCTGCAAAGACTGTACTCTTAACCATGGTGCTATGTTTATTTATTAACAGATTAATCGAAAGTTCAAACAGGTTTAGACTAGTATCATGTTGCTACTAGATACATATACTTTATAGCTGACACACATCTCAGGCATCATCTGATCCCAAACTGAAAGTTAGGACTTGAGGAAAACCTCGATTGACCCAGAGAGATTCAAATTATTTGTGTAAGGTGTCATGTACTAGTTAGTAACTTTTTTAAAAAACAGTTTGCCAGATCAAGTTGGAACTTGCAGGCTATGAGGCAAATGGAATCCTGTTATTCTTTTAATTAACCAAATTACTATTAGTAAAGAAGTGTGGAGAGTGAAGAACCTCTTTAGAGGATTAGTTCATGAAAAATAACAATGTTAGTGGCACTTTTTAAATTCAAAATACCTTTACTGCAACCTATGGAAGAAAATACAATATTCTTAAAATATTACCTATATTATTGAATAGAAAGGTATCAATGAGAAAATTGGAACTGCTTTTTATCTGCTAAAACATTAATATTTGAGAAGCAGCAACAGAACGATAAGTTTTAAGATCTTTTGTCCAAATTAGATTGTGGACCACATTAAGAAGCATTTGGCTCACATATCTCAAACTGCTTATCATATATTTAAACTGATATGTTTATCAGCTCTTTTGAAATACATATCATCTGTTCCTTCTTCCATTAAAAAAAACACAAAAGTCTTGCCAGAGCTTACCATTTGATCAGTCTTTTCAAAGAAACTGCTTTTAATTTTGTTGCTTTTCTTTATTATTGCCCTTTTTTTCTATTTAATAATTTCTGTTCATATCTTTCATTACTTCCTTTGTCCTGATTTTTCAGGTTTATTCTTTTGTTCTTTTTCTGTGATTGGCTCATTATTTTAAATTATTCTTCCTTTTTAAATATATGTATTGTAAGTATAAATTTTCCACTAAAAACTGTTTTGATATAATGCAGTATTTAGGTATAAATTTTTCCTCTAAGTGCTGACATGTTTTCATTATCATTCAGTGTCTAAATATTTTATACTTTCCGTTATGATTTTTCTGATCAGTGAATTATTTAGAAGTTTCTTGGTTTCCAAACACGTGTGCTAAAATTTTTAGAGGGTTGCCTTTTTATTATTGATTCCTAATTGCATGAAATTTTGGTCAGAGAATGTGATCTGAATAACAGAAATTTTTAGTATGATGAGACTTCTTTGTGACTCCAAACTGGTTGTATTTTTGTTAAATTTCTGTGTGCTTTATTATATGTGGGTATTACCCTTGTTTGACTGGAGCTCATTAGATCAAGATTGCTAGTTGTGTTCAAATTGTCTATATCCTTCCTAACTTTTTATCCATTCCGTCAGTTTTTGAAAGAGGTAGCTTAAAATCTCCTACTACGGTTAGGAATTTGTGAATCTCTGTTTGTAAGGCTGCGCTATTTCATCATGTTTTGTTTCAGTTTTTGTTTTACATGCACAGAGGTTCAGGCACTAAATCTTTCTCTAATTATGTAAAGATTCCTATTATCTTCAATAAAGCCCTTTTGCCTTAAAGTCTGTTTTGGTCTGTATTAATATTAATATTCTTATAACAACTATTAGCTTCTTTTAAAAGCTAATATTTGCTTTGTTTTCTTTTTCTGTCCCATTACATTTAATTGTCCCATCTTAAAGCCTAAATAATAATGATGTTAATAAAAATAGCTAAAATATATATTGAATCTTACTGTATGCCAGGCACTATGCGTTTTTGATATTAACTCATTTAATTATCACAATAATCCTGAGGTAGATATTACTGTTTTCCCACTTTATGGGGAAGCAAACAAAAACACAATTAAAAAGTCATTTTACAGATTTTCCACCTGCTCTCTGAAAATTACAAGGACCTTAAATCACTAACTCTTTTTTGCTCTCTCATCTGTCTTCTATGACGTTATGGTCTACTATTTGTTTTTAACACACACCCCCGCCTCAAATTTTTTGCTTTTTGCTTTACAGTCAGCAAATTTGTAATAACATTTTTGTCATTAAATTTATAATTAATTTACCAACTTGTTTGCTAATTAATTTTTCACCATTGTGCCTTGCACTCCATTCCTTTACTTGAGGCTTGGTTTGCTTCCTATAGAAGTACATTCTTTTTTTCCACTGCTTTTCAGAGAGAGTGGAAGGGGGAGAAAGACAGAGAGAGAGAAACACCAATGTGGGAGAGACACATTGGTTGCCCCCACACGCAGCCAGGGCCAGGGATTGAGCCTGCAACTGAGGCACGTGCCCTTGGCTGGAATTGAACCCGGGACACTTCAATCCTCGGGCTGACGCTCTAACCACTGAGCCAAACCGGCTAAGGCAGAAGTACATTCTTTAGTAGTCCTTTCGAGGGAGTATTTGTTAATGGTAAATTCTTAGACTTTATCTGAATATACTTTTATTTCATCTTCACTTGCTGAATAAAAAATTCAGCTGGGGGTGGTGGTGGAGAGATTGAGCAAAAAAGGAAAAAAAGAAAGATCATGAAAATGGACAACAATGTGGTGGTTTTGGAGGGGGGCAGATGGAGGTGAAAGAGGGCATAGAGGGGATAAGTGGTTGGAAAAACTAAAAACTAAAATAAAAATAAAAAATTCATTTGTGATTTTAGGTTGGTATTATTATTCCATTTCCTGCTGTAATGGCAAATTGTAATGATGAGAAATCTACTATATGTTTTTTGTTCTCTTGTAGGTAATGTGTCTTGTCTTTGGTTGCTTTTAAAATTTTCTCTTTGTCTTTAACACTGTAGAGTTTAACATGCTATGATTAGGTGTGGATTTGTTTTCATTTATGCTGCTCAATAAGCATCCTACTCTAATCTGGAAATTCCTCTTTCTATAATTATGAAAAACTGATAGTCTATATCTTAGAATACTGCCTCTGTCCCATTCTCTCTACTGCCTCCTATGGAAGTAGACATAGGTGGGAGCTTCTTCTATCACTTTTCTTCATTGTTTTATCATTTTCTCTTTATATCTCTGTGATGTTACACTGCTGCAGTCTCGGTGATTTCTACAGATCTACTGTCTAATATTTAAGTACTCACTTTAACTATGCAAATTTGTTGCTTATCCTTCTACCTTAATTATTTAAAAATAAGTTTGACGTATTCTTGGGAGTAAAGGAGAGAAAAAAATGTACCATTCTTCCTCTCCTCTGAAAAGCATAATAGTTTGGAGAAATTTGCTAAGGGGTAGAAGAGGGCAGCAATATAATGACACACACAAATATATATAATGTACATATATAATGATAAATAAATGAATATGCATGTGTGTTTATATGTATACATATATCTCTTAAATGTATGAGATGGAATCAGTCACCCCATTTTTGGCCCATGCAGAGTCTAAGTAGAGGGGAGATTTAGAATCAGATTTTTCTTCTTTTTATAACTACAAATGGATTTAAGTTTAATATTAAGTGATCTGTTCACATACTACGTGGTTCAGATGTATATATAATGTACATATAAATACCTGGAGAGAGGGTATTACAGATTGAGGGAACTGCAAGTACAATGGCCTTGTGGTGGAAAGGGACTCAGCATGATTAACGAATAACAAGAAACAACGGCTAAAGCAGTGTAAACCTGGGAAGGGTAGAGAAAATGAGGCAGGTGGTATGTTCAGGTATTAGATAAGGAACGGCCTTAAAAGTCATGATAAGGTTTTGAATTATATCCCAAGTATGATGGGAAGTGAGTAGTACCTCAAATGTCCTTGAAAATGTTAGATAAAAGTGCTTATTAAAATTGTACCTTATGTTTTGTACAATATTTAAAAAGTGAAGATTGTTAATAGAAGTTATAACTTTGTTTGGAACTTAAATTACTTCATAGGAGTCAGGCTTTCTTATTTCTAAAACATGTATAAAATGACATACTCTTATATAAGAGCCTAGACAGAATTCTCCTACTTTGAGAATTCTGTGAGATACATATATCAAAGAGTATATAAAGCATATTATGTACAGTTTAATGAATAATTATAGAGTGAACCAGTGTAACCACAATATAGGCAAAGAAATAGAATATTACCAGCTCCCCAGGAACCTTTGCTATATGACTTTTAAAAAAAGAGCTTACTTAGTACTATAATCTGTGATAATTATTCACTTAAAGGTCAACTAGAATCATGTGACCAGTCATTTTATGGGCAAAAGGAATGTTCCCTTAAGTCCATATTTAATTTCAATATGGAAACTGAGTTCATATCTACTTAAAATCTATTCATATTTCAGTACAGAGATATGCCATCTTTAAGGCACTAATTTTTATTTTTAAACATAAGATATATCAAGTGTATAAAAAACAGAACTATAGAACTTGAAGAAAATGTATACATCTTCATATTTTTGTGAAAGCAAATTAATAGCAATAGCTTTAAGATAAAAAGCATTTGATTAAAGTAAAATAAAAGTCATTCAAAAGTTTAAGATCTCATTATGGGTTTCATTACAACAAATTAGGTAAAATGAGAAGACTTCTTTGTTTCTGTGTAGCTTCTAGTAATGCTTAGCACTCAATAAATGTGAAACAATAAAATATGAATTAGGCTAATCACAGCATATCTAAAATATATTTTATTAAATTTGAGCCTACTGAAAATTTTATATTATAGAAACTTGACATGTCACTGATTCATAACCTTTTCCAGTATTAAAAATTAAACTTATGAAATCTAGATTTCTATATCTTTTAAATAAACATTTTAGCAATAAACTACCAGAGAAGAAGAAATATGTATGGTAAAATTTAAACTAACAATATTTTAAAATAAAAAATTTCATATTAAATTAGGTTTTTCTCTTATGGAAAATTGTACAAATCTTTTGCAAATGCATTTAAAACATAAAAAAATGAAGGGAATGAAATATAACAAATAAAAGCAGCTATATAAAGATACACAAAGTGTGGATAAAACTAAATGGACAACATGTATAAAAATAACATTTAGAAGTATCATTCTTAAACTGTATAGTGTAGCAGTACCTGAATTATGTGCCCTTTAATTTATGCACATGATGGATAGCTTGTTAAGAGGCGTATCTGTAACCATTATAATTGATAGTAGCTGAAGGCAGTCAGGCCATAATTTCTACTTAATGGATGGGATAGTAAGGGAACAAAGTCTGCAGTAGCATTTTAAAATAAGTGCCTAGAAAGTTTACATTTATGTCCAACGTAATACCTATATTCTAGCCTTTTCTATGTTGAATTCTTTAAGAAGAGAAAAATCAGTTGCAGCAATATTCATATATTATTAAATAAAAATTGTGATTAAACCAATAACTAGGAAAATATTACAATAAGTGGAAAAGAATGTTTAACTAACCATTTGATGGTCCATTTTTGTGCTCTTGTTCTTTAGAGCTTGTGGAAGAAGCAAATAGGCTCAACTGACAAGTTCCAGTTGTTGGAGAATAATTTGTAATACTTTTCTTCCTTGTGCGTTTTGAAGGCTCAAGTGACTGAAAATAAACATTAATTTGGGACAAAAATACTTATGCTTAGTTATAGATTTTGAAAATACCTTTGAAAACACACAAAACTTAATACTTTTTCTGTTCTTTCTTTTGGATTTTAAGTATACTCAATGATTACCTTCAAAGTATACACTATTTTTTCAAGTTATGGATATATTTTAGGTCTCCACACTAACCAGGGCATCTCAATTGGATATTTAGAAAAATTTTAACATTAAAGGGTTACTACCTTCTGAGACAGTACATCCAAACAGACTAGAGATGGCTGACTCTCACAATTATATTGACTTTTGCTGTCAGCTGAACCTGAAGTATAATTATGGGGCCAGGCCAGGGAAACTCTCTGATCTCATATTAAATCCCACAAGGAAATACTAGGAAGGATCAGTACTGTCCTGAACCTTCACAAAGTTGCTCTGTCACGGGATCTTGTCTTATTGATAACCAAAACAAATGTTCAAACAATTGAGTATGGGATTTAAGGTCTTTGAAAATTTGGCCTATCCTACACAAATCCTCTCTGCAGCTTCCTCCTCTGTGTTCTCATAGACCTCGTGCATATTTCCTATTCGAGCTAGCAAATTTTTACATTTCTGTCTGTCCCACTAAAATTTGAGTTCCTGAAAAGAAATATCATTTCTTCATCTTTGTCCCCCAGAGCTCAAAAATGTGTGATAAATAAATGACTTAAAAGGAATAGTCCAACAATATACAGATGATGCAGTACAGAATTATACACTGAAAACCTATACAATTTTGTTAACCAATATTACCCCAATAAATTCAATAAAAAAAGAGAACAGTCCAATAAATTTGGCCAAGCCACTCTACACATCCATTTCTTAGTTCACTCATCCAATATTAAATGGCATTTGTAGTACCAGTATCTAGGCTAAAGATATATTTGGGCCTTAGCACTCTTGTTCTTATCTTTCCTGGGATCTAGTCTTCGTTTGGTTCAGGTCCCTATCATGATCCACTTCTTCCAAACACCCATTACCACACTATTAATTGCTTGTTCTTCTGAATTCCCTTTAAACTTGTTTTCTATAATGCTTACTAAGCACCCAGCACTTGCTAACTAATGTGTAAAAGAAAGAGTACAAATTGTTCTGGCCTCAGATACAGCAGAAAAGAGGTCTTAAGGTAGTATGTGTGCTAAAGAAATTAAGGGGGGAGAGAAAATCAAAGTGGGCTGCAGAAACCTCAGAGAATGATTCTTATGAGGGTGAAAGGTGAGTCTTAGAGAAGTGAAAAGAAAAGGTATGAAAAACTTTAAATCTAGATGTAAAACAGGCATCATAGGGTGGATTTGGGGGATAAAGGAAAGGTCTGAAGGCTCATGATATGTTGTCAACATTGTAGAATTGAACTTAGCTTGGTAGCTGTCTTGAAATAGTTATATAATTCTCCATTGTCAACTATTTTTAAGACACCATGGCAGAAATAGTGACTGTGTCACAGTTTTCAATAATCTTGGTATTAGTTCCTGAATCTATAGCATCAACTTGTTTTTACAGTTAAGATTTTAAATGATAAATACTTCTTTGTAATGAGGGAACAAAAGCATTCCATTCTTTATTTTATGTACCCACAGTAGCCACAAATATAACCAATATCTTTAAAAAAAATCAAACTATGATATCAAGTTATAACTCTAACACAATCTTTTTTGTAGGGTGAAAGGGTTTTAAGTCTCTTTATCAGGTGGTTATTATTACCTCTCCATCTTGAGTTTTTACCTGTTTATATGTATTCAGTCATAAACTATGACACTTATCCAATCCTACTCTACTTTTCCAAGAATTTATTGCCCAAAACTATTTCACTGTGTATGTACAAGAAATGAAAGTCACTACCCTAATGCACATTTATGTCAATCTGTTTTTCTATTTTCACCAAAAAATTATTTTTTCCAATTGCCAAATATCTAAACATTGTAACCATAGATCATAGATTTCTCCTTGAAAACAATTTTCTAGCTTTCATAAAATAAGTCTTCGTGTGTGCACGTAGTGTGTGTGTGTGTGTGTGTGTGTGTGTGTGTGTACATATTTTTCTTCCCTCACTTTAAAAATACTGGAGTCTCTTTTGCTTGCTTTCTTTTTTGGTCATCTGTGTTGGTTAAAAGGAAAAATGTCTGTCTACAATTACATAGAGTAATACATACTATTCTACTAAATATTCTTCAGTAAATAAAGAATTTTTATATATCTACCTACTGATACACACAAAGGCATAATCTTATTTCTCGAAGTTTTTCCCCCCTGAAAGTTGTATCAAGATCCTCTAACTTTCATACCTTAAAGATGCTTAAAAGTGACCCTAAAATTGATCTGAGAATTTCCATTCTGCCAACCCCCGCAAAATGTTGAAGGACTTGGCCTACTGATTAGTCCCACAACAGGAAGAGTTAAGAAGGCTGGGGTTTGTAGGCTGTTTCCAGTGGCTTTTCCATACAAACTACTTGTCTTGGCTTATGCTGCAGACTTACCCAAAATCTCTTAAACAAGCAGCATCTGGCCTTGGTGAGCCTCGTACCTCTTGCTAAGAGGCCCCAGGCCCCGCACTAGTGGCAGCCTGCCTTGGTTCATAGCTTGGCCTCTCCCAGGCACTTCCAAGCCAGCACAAGCAGCAGCCACCTGCAGATAGCTTTATAGCCCGACAGGGCACATTCAGTGACTGATCTTGGCCTGCATCTACTGGGAGGCCCCAGAGCCAGAGCACATGGTGGACTGCTTCAGACCACACTGAAGAACCATCCAACTACCACAAGCAACACACTCAAGGGGCAGACTCAGGGAGCATCTGAGATCTTGCTCCCTGGCATGTGTCATTGATTTGGCTCAAATAAACTCTTATAAAAATTCTCCACAGGTTTGACATCAACATTTACTTGGTAGCTGGCACTAATCCAAAGAAGCCCAACCAGGACCACCCTATGGACCTTGACCTGGTGCTAGGTACAATCAAGGTCCCATTGTGCCCCACTGGCTCCTTACTTAGCATCAGGTGAATTAAGCGAGCTCCCGGGAGACAAAGACTTTATGGATTATTGACTGCCACCTGGAGATGTTGTTCATTGGAAAGGACATCTAATAAAAGACACACTCCAACCTCGTTGGAAAGGGTTTTATGAGGCACCTAACCATGAGTGGACATCCATCCCTGTCTGTAGACGTTAAAGACTCCTTGAGGATGAGGATCCAGTGACACCAAAGGTAGACAGCTATGCCAGGAAATCAGCAAGGCCTGTATATCTACAGGTTGATACTGAACTCTGAGTCCATTTTGTTTGACTGTCTTTACCTGTCTCCTAATGATTATTAGTCATAATAATAGTTATACTTGTTCTTTGGGTTTTTCCATATAGTCCAACTGTTTACGATTACCCAACTAAAAGGCTGGTCATCAGTGCATCCTTCAGACTGATTTCTGACCAAAAGAGGGAACCATGGAGGAAAAAAAAAGGTTCTATGAAAAGTAGTTTCACAGGGTGATCTGATCACAAATTCCTTACTGGGCAAGTCATGGTGGGTAGTCAAAACCCCGGCCTAGAACTTCTTTAGTGAAAGGTTTTAAGGCAGCCCTGCCCATTATTCTTGTACATCTACATTAACACACCTTTAAAATGCCAGAAGAGGGGTATTAACCCTCAAGAGAGCACATAACCTTGCTAACTATCATATAATCCAATCCCCCTGCCTCACTTTCTCTAATCTTCCTTACATTCCCTCCTTAATTTCAAGTGCATAAAAGAAGCTGCAAAGCTGTTATTTTCAGAAACATTTGAGATCTTGTTCCATGGCTTGTGTCATCAGTTTGGCTCAAATAAACTCTTATTAAAAAAAAAAAAAAAGGGGGGGGGCAGACTCAGTGGGCATTTCAGACTCACTGAAATGAGTCTTGCTCCGTGAAGTTGGTCTCTACAAAGCAGATCCTCCACGGTGGTCATGGCCAGTCCTCATAACAGATTCGCCTAGGGATAAATCCATCCTTATTGATGTGCCCACAGCAGTCAAGGCTCAACTACAACAGGAGGGTTCATACAGGCCACAAGGGGTGCATATCTGGACTGCCCAGCTTGGGTGACCGGGGAGGCTGTGCCACTGGGCCCTACAGGACACCTACTATATAAGGCCACTCTATCAAGACCAGGAGACATTGCTGCTCTACCTAATACACAGAAGCCAACACAGGGAGGCTGCCAAAATGAGGAGACAAAGAAACAAGTCCCAAATGAAAAAACAGAACTCCAGAAAAAGAACTGAACAAAATGGAGACAAGCAATCTGCCAGATGTAGAGTTCAAAACAGATCATAATAAGGAAGGTCAACATAGGGGAAGAGTAAATGTACTTAGTGAGAACTTCAACAAATGGATAGAAAATATAAAAATGGAGATAGGAAACATACAAAAGAACCAGTCAGAAATGAAAAATACAATGACTAAAATGATGAATACATTATAGGGAATCATCAGTTGAGTTGATGAAGTGGAGGGTCAAATCAGAGATTTCAATGACAAGGAAGCAGAAAACAACCAATCAGAACAGCAAAAAGAATCCAAAAAAATGAGAATAGTATAGGGAACCTCTGGGACAATTTCAAATGTGCCAACAATCGCATCATGGAGGTGCTAGAAGGAGTAGAGAGAAAGAGCAAAAAATTGAAAACCTATGTGAAAAAATAACAGGAAACTTATCTAACCTGGTGAAGGAAATCGACATATAAGTTGAGGAAACACAGAGAGTTCTGAACAAGATGAATTCAAAGAGGCCCACACCAAGACACATCATAATTACAATGCAAAAGGTTAAAGACAAAGAGACTTTTAAAAGCAGCAAGAGAAAAGCAGTTAGTTACCAACAAGGAAGCTCCCATAAGATTGTCAGCTGATTTCTCAACAGAAACTTTGCAGGCCAGAAAGGACTGGCAAGAAATTTTCAAAGTGATGAAAAGCAAGGATCTACAATCAAGATTACTCTACTCAGCAAAGCTATCATTCAGAATTGAATGACAAAGAGCTTCCCAGACAAGAAAAAGCTAAAGGAGTTCACCATCACCAAACCAGTATTATAAGAAATGTTAAAGGGTTTTCTTGAAGAAGAAAAAGATAAAAATATGAATAATAGTATGGCAATGAATACATATCTATCAACAATTACTTTAAATGAAAATGCATTAAATGCTCCAATCAAAAGACTTACGATAGCTGAATGGATAACAAAAGGCCTTACACATGCTGTCTACAAGAGACTCACTTCAGACCAAAAGACATACACAGGCTGAAAATAAAGGGATAGAACAAGATACTTCATGAAAATGGAAACAAACAAGCAAGCAAAAAAAGCTGGAATAGCAATACTTATACCAGACAAAATAGACTTTAAAACAAAGGCTATCCAAGAGACAAAGAAGGACCCAGGAATGCCACTTCTATTTATCTGAAGAAACCCAAAACACTAAATAGAAAAGACGTATCCATCCATATGTTTGGCAACACTATTTACAACAGCCAAGATATGGAAGCAACCTAAGTGTCCATCAATAGATAAATGGATAAAGTGGTGTATATGTAATGGAAAACGACTCAGCCATAAAAATAAGAATGAAATCGTATTATCTGCAACAACATGAATGGTACCCAGAGGGTACTGTGCTGAGTGAAATAAGTCACATAGAGAAAAACAAATACCAGATTTCACTTATATGTGGAATCTAAAAAACAAAATAAATGAGCAAACAGACCAGAAATACATACATAGAGAGAACATTTTAACAGCTGCCAGATGGGAGGGGATATGTCTTTTCTATTCAGGGGTTGGGTGAAAAGGTGAAGGGATTAAGAAAGACAAATTGGTAGTTACAGCATAGTTATGGGGATGTTAAGTGATTTATTGGGCTGATCACTTTGTAAGTTATATAGATTCTATGATCAGCCCAAAAGCCACTATACTTTTTGTAAGGTCAAATCTTGTACAGTCACAAAACTAAGGTTTGGGCATTGATTTTTCTGTCTTTAAAAAAAAAAATTTTTTCTCTACATAATTTCAAATATATATAACGTCCTCTTTCAATATCTTTCACAAATTGTAGCTTGCTTCGTCACCTTGTTTAAAGCATTTTCTACCAAAAAGATGGCTGAATTTTATTGATTTTTATCTATTATAAACAGTGTAGAAAGTACTAACTAAGGGTTCTTTCAGTATGAATTATGGAATATTAAGGATCCGCTACTATTATGAACTACCAGCCCATGCTATCACTGAAATATTTAAGACACAGGTACTATGTTTTTGGACAATTAGAAACAAAAGAAAAGTTAGGGCAGCCAAATGGAGATAAATTCTTCATAAACTTATACCGGTTTAATTGGATTATCTCACCTAAGATATTATTATGCATTATGAGTACTAACTATGGAGTTTATATTAGAAAACTCTAAATACTAGCTGTTTCAGAAACTTCACAATTTGGTCTAGAGTTCCTAGAAGAGTCCTAGATATCAACTAATTTCCGATCAGCTGCCACAATTATCATCCTTAATGGTTCTAATAATGTTGGGGCTCTGTTATTATTTTTAATGGTAGTTATGGAGAATAAAAGCATTTTGCACTTACCTCAGTGATCTTACTGGGACAGCAAGGAAAAAATATAACCAATATATGAGATTTGTGGTGATGGAAATGTTCTTTGGCAACATGGGAATTCATGAAATTATTTTCTCTACTTTTGTGTATGTTTGAAAAATTTCATAATAAAAAGGTAAAAAAGTAAGGAAGGGGAGGGAGGGAGAGAAGAAAGAAGTAGATTTGAGCCGATCAGTAAGTAAACCTGCAGAATGTAAGTTATAAAAGTCCCTAATGCCCAGAAGCCCTGTCTTAGAGAGCGAACACAAGCTTAGGCCATGGGAATAACCTGACTTAGAAGTGTCCTACCAATAGCAATGCAATAATCTATGTCCAAAACAGCAAACCTCTCTCAAAACCTGAACTGTCATTCCAGACTTCTAGCACCATGCCTACTGAGTTTGTCTTAGCAGGAAGTACGCCCTCTCCCTTCCCATCTGCTTCTTTCATTCCTTTTCTGAGATGGCCTGAAAGAGATTAGGTCAAATTGACTAGGTCTATGACCAGGTAGCCAGTTGTCCCTATAAATTCACCTGGACTGGTAATGGCAGCAGCTTATAATAAATAATTCATTTTTGCTCATGAAAATTCAAGAAACAGTGCTTGGAGGGCAATAACTTGAGCAGGCCAAATACAGTAGGTGGTGATAAATTGAAACTTTCAGGACTCTTCACTAACTCCCAACAATTTGGAAGGTTCAGTAAGTAGTGGTACTTGAAGTATACACTCTGTATTAAAGGAAGTCACAAAGGATGATCCATACCTCCGCTTCCCCCATTAGGATAATTATTTAAAAAAATGACTTTTGCAGACTTGCCCTGACATTATGGAGCATTAATCTCCATGAAGGTCTGTAACTGTATTGGCAACACTGGGATATGAAAGTTTCCAACATCTATGAAAGAGGAAACAGGAAACAGCAGTAGATTAGGATAAACAGGCTCCACTTTAAACAACTGACAAATAAGGGCAATCTCCTCTCCTTGGACACCAAAGCCTTCTTCCTTCAGCATCATATTGGTAAGGCAAAATGACCGAAAGTTACTATTAGTTCCTCTGTAGCATCACAGCGATTACATACTCTTAAAAGTATAGCTCTATGTTTTGAATGTCTGATTTTCCTTTGCATGGGGTAAGGCAGCCTCAATGGGATCACTGGCATGTGGGTAGATTCCTGGGAGCCTGGCTGTTCCAGGGCTAAGTTGTTTCTGGAGTAGATGGAAGGATAAATGCAGCTGAGGAGAGAAGCCTAGACTTAACAGAGCGCAAAAGCCATCAGACATAAGATGTGAATATAGAGCTGCTAACAAATGAATAGGTAGAGTACAAAAGCTGAATATATCAGAAACAGATCAGAAAATAGAAATGTTGGAGGCCCAGGCTAGGATGCCGAAAACTAGTGTTTGGCAGGTGGTGGCCAAGCTAAGTCAATTGGTTTAAAGGGTACAGAATTGGGCCAAACATAACAATGTATTTTCCTAATGTAGGATATTAGCTGTGGTACTGGTTACCTTGATACATCCTAATTTAAAAAAAAAAAAGGACCGAAAGCCTACCATGACGACAATTGTACTTCACAAAGAGGATAATTTCCTAAACGGCCATTCTTTTCCATTCGAATAATGTTACCATCTCCCAAAGAACAGTTTTGGGGCAGGAAAAAACAGTATTCCATTTCAAGCTGGACTACTCATCTACCAAAATACCATTCTGACCAAAGAAACAGATGCAGAATTACAGTCACAGCTGCATTCTGTACAGAGCAAGTTGGATAATGGTACTCTAAACTGCTAATTACACTGCTAATGATTTTTTTAGTGGCACTGCAGTATTTTGCCACCTTTGTTTAAATTTTTTAAAAAAGCACCTAGGAACTTTTTAAAATGGTAAACTGTTAAATACCAGTGAGTCTTCCAAAAAAGAATTCCATATAAAACTATTTATTGAAATGGCATTCTCATATGGGATTTGGTAGTAGCCTATTGATTGACTAGCTATTAGTTTTAATTTACTTTCTCACCAATTTACTTGCACTTAAGATTACGGAGGCCATCAGTAACTCAGTATTAGTGTTTGTATCTAGATCCATATTGGTATGAAAAGATAATAAACTAACATATGTCATGATATGCTGGCATTGGAAATGTGCTATGACTAGATTTACAAAAAGTAATAGCAACAGTACAATTTTATTTTTATTGTGACAACCATGATGAAATTTATTACAGTGTTAGTATTTTATTGTTTAATCATGCCAGCGTAGCTGAAAAAGGTAATTACATTTTTGATATAAAAATGCTGTTAATGTTTTTATTTCAGATACTATAGAAGATTACAGAATGTAGATTAAAACATTGCCATGTCCCATATTGTTTCTTGTGCATTTAAGTGGCAGAATTTTTTTCTACAAATAGTGAATTAATTTCTACTAAATTATTTCATAACATTTCTAAATAATTTGCTTCTTAAATGAAAACCTCAAGCTGGCCGGGAACTTCCACACATTATTTACAAAAAAATATTATATGCAAAAAATGATGTACCAATCACAATGATGTCACAATGTTTTTTGATGATTTTTATATTTAGTAAGGTAAGTTAGCTGTTAAAAAAATAAGAACACAATTTTACTAAGCAATTACAAACTCATAAGTAAATACTTACATTTGCCTCTAATGGATCATCCAATTTCAGTGATCTTTTAACACTGCAAACAAAATATTTAAAGAAATCTTAGATTTGATATGCTTTAAGTAGTCAAATATTTAAGAGTAATATATATAAAGATTCTAAATTACTTTCACCAAGTAAAGTAAAATGGCATAAGAAAGCAATTTTCACAGGGATAAAACTTTTTAAAATAGCATATTTCAAGATGGAATCATAATTAAATACTTAAATGGATTGTTTTATGCATATGTGGTTTTACATATGCACCATCATACAATTTAATCATTAAAGTCATATTATAAAATAATCTTAGTAAAAGTTACTATTTGTGTGTGTTTAAAATACCACTAATAAAAATTATAAAGAAGAGCAAAATAATTTACATACCTTCAATGGAGATACTGAAAGTATATTTGCACGAATAATGCACTAGTTATTAAAATAAAGGTATGAGCAAGGTGAAAAAGTTTTCCACATTTTTGTAGCTTTAAACATGATTCAGTGCCACCAGACTATGACTTAACTGAGGAACAGATGCTCTATGTCTTTATAAGTCCCCAATCCATATAAAACTATTTTTTGTCTCCTTCACTAAACTGATTCAGGAACATGCCAGGCTCTCTCTGTGCAAAATCTGTTCTGCTAAACTGGATGCCCAGCTGTTGGTGACAATGCTTAGAAAGGAAAGCTGAATATTTATAATACTTTATTTCATACAGCTGTCTTCTAAAGAGCAGTCATCAACATTTATTGAATGCAGACTAAATGCTCCAAGGAGAAAAAGGTCAATATAAATTAAAATAAGTTTTCCCAATAACAAATACAGAGTTATAAGTACTTTCATGATCCCTGAAAAATTGAAATTGTTATTTCAAATATTAGAGAATTTGTGCATTAGGCAAAAAAAAAAAAAAAAAGATAGTATTATAAATCAAGGTTGCAGTATAGAAAACAAAAAACTTACACATTCTAGAAATGACTATTCATAAATGACTACTGACTTTCAAACAAGTGACAGGAGTGAGGAAAAAAAAGGGATGGACAATTTACAGAAATTACTGCATAGTAAGTATTAAATACAAAAATTTTATCTAAAAAAAGTTCACTTAAATTCGCTATAACATCTAGATTAGCCTATCACTTAACATTATTTCTTGAGATTAAACAGGTTTAAAGGATTAATTATATCTTTTAGAAGTCTACTTGAAATTAATTTAAGGTGAATTCTCAATGAAGCAATAAGTGAATAAAGAACAGATTAAAAAAAAGTATTTGTATTCAGCTTTGGAATATATATACTCTACTCAGGTGTGTAAGATGTTTTGACATTTAACCAAATTTCAAAAGTAGAAATAAAAAACTAAAAGTGTGCAGTATGGAATTTTTTTATCCTTTGTTTTCAAATGCTGTTAAGATGCAATACAACCTTTCAGAAGGGAAAAAAAACCCACCGTATTATTAACTATTCAAAATATTTTTGCTTTATTATTGGTTAATTCCTAGAGAAAGAAACTAAATGTCCGGATTTAAAGGTTCCTAGTTTAAGGTCCTAGGCTGATCTAAGAAGTCCAAGGAAATATGTAAAAGTAAACAAGAAAGTAAGCAGTAAGTCTGTTAACTCCCGGTTTAATAGTTTAGTGAGAATCTAAAAACATAATTTATTGGGGGAAATGTAGTTTTCAGATAATTCACATATCCAATAATCAAAAGCTGAAAATATTTACAAGAATCATAAACAAATTTAATAGAGAAAATTAGGAGAAATCAAAGAAATCACTTAGTTCATCCAATAGAGACAGGTTGGTGTGACCTGACCACTGTCATACAGCTCAAGTGAGAGAAACTCAGATCTCAGGTCCTGTGCATAATAAATCTTTGTTAAATTGAAGGGGAGGGGGCTAAAGAAGAGGTAAGGAAGAGCAAACCTATTAGAGGAATTTATCACCATTTATTTTTACTGTTCTATTAGAACTGGGCCCATTGTAAAGATACTAATTACTAAATAAAGCACCTACTAAATGCTTTTACGTGTTTTGTTTTAAAACCCACTCTTTACCCAGACACAATTGTAATACAAGCATGAGATGATGTCAAGCAGATTAGGATAATGTTAATAGGAATGAAAAGGAAGAGATGGATGAAACATATTACAAAGGAAGAACAGACAAAATTTGATTAGATATATGGGCTATTTTCCTAAAGTATTCACTCACTTGCTACCAGTCGATCAGTTAGCAATTAAAAGTGATAGATCTCTGGTAGTTCTGTAAAGTTATAAGCAGCTCTTGTGGCTACTACCTTGGTTTAAAAAAAATGGGCACTCAAAAATAGGCAAAGAACTCAAATAGTCATCTCTCCAAAAATACACAAATGACCAATAAACATATGAAAAAATGCCCAACATCAATGATATTAAGAGCAGCACTAGTATTTAGGAAATGCAAATCAGAACCACAATGAGACACCATTTTACAACCATTAGGATGGCTACTATTAAAAAAAAAAACACCCAGAAAATAAATGTTGGCCAGGATGCTGAGAAAGTGGAACTCTTACATTGTGAGTAGTACTATAGAATCATACAGTTGCTATGGAAAACATATAGGAAGTTCCTCAAAAAATTAAACAGAATTACCATATAATCCAGCAATTCCACTTCTGGGGATATACCACAAAGAACTGAAAGCAGGGACATGAACAGATATTTGTACACCCATGTACACAGCAGTATTATTTACAATAGCCAAAAAGTAAAAGTAATGCAAATGTTCATCAACAGATAAATAAACAAAATAGTATTATACACACATACATACAAAAATAGAATACTATTAAACCTTGAAAAGGAAGGACATTCTGCCCCAGCTGGGTGGCTCAGTCGGTTGGAGCATTGTCCTGTACACCAAAAGGTTGTGGGTTTGATTCCAGGTCAAGGCACATACTAGGTTTTGGGTTCCATCCCCCATCGGGGCATGTATGAGAGGCAGCCAATCAATGTTTCTCTTACATAGATGTTTCTCTCTCTCTCTCAAATCAGTAAAAAAACATATCCTCAGGTGAGGATAAAATTTTTTTAAAAAAAAAATTCAACATTCATCTAATATTCTTAAAATGTAAAATGTATATACAGTTATTCTACTGGGTGTTAAATAGTATTTCAACATAGTTTTAATTTTCATTTCCCTGATGTTTAACAAAATGCTTATTTGCCATTCATATAACTTTTTATTAGGTATTGGTTCAAGTCTTTGAGCCATTATTTTAACAAGGTTTTTGTCTTTATACTGTTGAGTTGTAAGAATCCTTGTGATACCGTTGTAATTAGCTAATTATTAATAACAGGAAAGGAGCAAAGGGAAGGCCAGACATTATATAGGCATGTTCCAGCAAATAACTGGGGAAGGGGACTGGACAAAGGGAAGAGACACATACTCAGTAAAGTTGGGGTGACAGGGAAGGTACTTGCTGTCAGTCACACCTGGGAACAGAGGTCACTGGCCAGAATGGGCGCGGCCACTGTAAACCTACACAGAAATTTGGGATATATAATCTCCTGAACAAAGAAGTTTGCTCTCTTGGTTTCTCTTGGCACGATTGGCCCAAGCTTGGCTTCCTGGCATTCTCCCGTGTGGCCCACAGTCATGGGGACCCCCCTCACATAATGGACTAATGGACTGCTTCTAGCCTGATGCTGTCTCCAACATAGAAAGGAAACTCTTGACACTGGCTTTGCTTCTAGCTTTATTGAAACCCCATCTACACTTCTATGACTGGACTGATGGAAATTGGACTTCAGAAACTCGGGACTGTTAATTCCATGGAAATAAAGCTTTCTACCATATCTCATCCTCTTGTGGGGGCCTCTGGAAATGCCTATTCCAGTGGTACCCCAAGAATCCCACTCTCACTAGCATCAAGGAAAGCTGAGGCACGTTTTTCTCCAATAGACCTAGCAGCTTCACAAAAGTGCTATTTTTTGTTTTTTTTGTTTTTTTAATAGTGCAACAAAAGGGAGATAAGTCTTCCTGCTTAATTTTGGGGAGAGGAAAACCTCTTCAATAATCCTAACCTTTAAGGATATAAGTGAAACACACTTATTGAAACTTGTGTATAGGACACCATATTAAGTGCTGAGTTTCCTTATCTGGAAATGAGAGATAATAGTAGCTTCTACCTCCCAAAGTCCTTTTTTAGGATTCAATGAGAAAATGTAGGTAAACCGCTAAACCTGTACCAAATCATAAAGATTCAGTAAGTGTAGGTTATTACTGCTTTACATCTTTCCACTTTCATATCAATTCCTATTTGATACAAATATTTCCCCCGTTGAGTTACTTTGCATGTGGTTCAACCCTGAAAATAACGGAGGAATAAGTTACTCTAGAAGTGCACAGAAGGGGGTACCTAAGACAACCTGGAGACAAGGGACAGCCAGAGAATTTCCCGTGTTAGATAGCAATCCCTCCACCCCAAAGAAAAACTTCCTTACTGAACTTTAAAAAGTTTCGACAGAGCAGCAATAAGGAACCTGACGCCAGAACTGGATACGCTTTCCCGTTTCAGTGCTGGGACCGGGGTCTCTTGAGACCCAGTTCTTGAGTTGTCCCCCAAGTTTATACGAACTTAGCACACTAACGTAGGCACCAACGGGCGTTACCCAATTACACGCGCCTCAATCGCCTCTATCCCATTCTCGGGATGTTAACCATATCTGAAGTTATTTCAAGCCCTCAAATCCATCACTAACTACCGCCCACAGCCTATAAAATCAGTGAAAAGCCTTGGGGAATCAGAGTTAAAGACAAAGACTACCGGGTAACTACGGCGGGAAGATGGGCACAGGTGGGTATAGAGCACCAAGCAAGCCAGGAGCTGTCGACGGAGGAGGCAAGTTCATAGAAAAGTAGAAAAACAAAAGAGGTTATTGGGCCACATATGTACTCTTCTTGCTCACAGAGGGGCCCGACAAACAGCAACATCTGGGGAGCAGGTACCTACGGCATTTCCACATTCAAGGATGGACCACGACCGCCGGATGAAAGTAACCGGGCAACCTCTTCGGTCAACAGAACCTTCCGAAGGAAACACAGCAGCCTGAAAAGCGCGGGCGAGCGAGCGCTCGACGCTGTGTCACACTCCACGTAGCCCGCCGGAAACACCGTCTCCGCGGCAACGGATCCGGCCGGCTGCGGGGAAAGGAGGAAGGGACTGACCGTCCAGGACCGCGTCCAGTCCCTCGCAGCGCGGCGCGGGACCCTCGCTCACGGCTCTGGCCATGACAGCCCCGGAGAGAGGAGCGACGGGACCGTCTCTCTGATCACTGTGGATTAACGACCCCCTAGAGTTCGAGCCCGACCGCTTGGGGAGGTGCTCTGTATCTTATTTCCGGTGGCGGTGAGGGGCAGTTGCCATGGTAATTAAAGGAAGGCCGAGGGCCGTGGGGCTCCGGTGAGCGGCCTGCGGAATCCGTGCCGAGCCCTGGCCGCGCTCCTCGTCCAGCGGGAATTAGGTAGCAATCGGCTCGTCGTCTCTCTCTGCGCGTTGTGTCCCTTACTGTTCGGCTTTCCTCCCACCTGCTTCCTTTACTTCTCTGTCATACGAACACTTCGGTCCATATGCGGACCTGAAATGTACCTAGAGATGCAGTTTTAGGCTCAGGGAAATACAAAAACAGATGTTGCCTGAGACCGGCTGTGAACGTAGGGACGGTGTGGCTGGCTCTCTGTTTTCACTTGGCCCTAGGCGCTTGTTAGTTTATTTTTCTTGCTATTGTGTGGCTGGTTATTTATGGAGCCGTTTGCTGCAATGTACTCTCTAGGCCCCCGTCTGAGTCTCGGGCTGGAGTTTCAAATGAAGGAGGTTTCCAAGCCTGAGGGGGTACAATTATATATTTATTTAAGCTTAGTGTAGTCTCTCCACACAGAAAGGGAAAGAATAGAATTCTGGAACATTTCTGCCGTGGGATTTCCACGTGAGGGAGTCATCTTATTTGGAAAGAGTATTCGAGGACAATCCAAAAAAAAAAAAAAAAAAAAAAATGAATCTAGAGGACACAACTTACATTCTTTTCAATATGGACAAATGTCTCAATGTAAAATGCCAAACTATAAAAATCCTAGAATAATAAAAAAACCTCAATAATTTTGCTTTTGGAAATGATTTCTTAGATACACCAAAGGCAAAATCCATAAGAAAAAATTAAATAAACAAACAACTTTATTAAAATTGAAAAACAACAAGCTTCTGCTCTACGAAAGATAATGTGAGAGAAGACAAGCCACAAAGTGAAAGAAAATTTCTGAAAAATACATATATGATCAAAAACTCTAATCCAAAATATACAAAGAAATTTTAAAACTACACAATAAAAACACAATAAAAAATGTGTTGAATATTTAACAGATACCTCTCCAAAGAAAATATACAGATGGCAAAAAAGCATATCAAAAATGATCCACATCATATGTCATCAAGAAGATGCAAATTAAAATAACATTGGATCCCCGCTACAGGATCGTTGGAATGACAACACCAAGCGCTGGTGAGGGTGTGGGACGCCAGGGGCTCACATTTACTGCTNAAAAAAAAAAAAAAAAAAAAAAAAAGCACCTTACATGTTAAAATTGCTTGCTGCAAAAGGAACGTTCTCTCTTCCTTATTGGAACGGTTTTCTTGCACATCTTTGAGGACATGCGTGCACGCATATGTGTTTAAAACTCTGATGCTTAATTATAGTGATACCAATTTGCAGTAACCAGACTGTGACACCACATCCCTATGGGGTCCTTCTAAATCTGGTGTAATATGAAAGTGTCAGGCAGGCGGTCTGTGTATTATAAATAGGGTACTTCATCCATGATAAGCGATTATTATCTTTCTTTCCCAAGTGTAAAAGACCTATATAATTCAAGAAGGTGCGAGTGATTTAGGCCTCTTGAGTAAGAATCCAATGAGTCCTGAAGGGGACCCTACCTGTGACGTCTTATTGTTGAACTTGAAATATTCAATTTATTAGGCTGGAATGTATTTTTAAAAGTCAAAGCTGGGTAAAATAATGTTGGAAGCTGTTAGATCACCAGCACAATTTAGTGCCTATTGTACAAGAAGCCTTCATTCACATTAATAAAGAAAAAACTGTTCGGAAATTTACTGACTTTTGCTACTTGCTCTCAATTGGCTACGCCAAGTCCCTCAATTTCCTTATCTGTAAAATGGACCAAAAATGCCAGACCACTGTAGTAGGGATAAATCATGATGTATGACATTTCTTTAAGCTCTTATGAGCAGAGGTGCTATATAAGCCCCAAACATTATTAGTAATGTAACACAGTAAAATTTCATGCTAACACTATAAATGGGATTTTAAAAATCCAGTCATTTAAAATGTGGGGCTGCATTATTGAGGTGTTAGTGAAATGACCTGCTGTGGAGATGAATGCCAATCACATTATACCCACATTCTTATTACTATGGAGTTCCCCTCTATCTACCGTTTATTTAGCACTTAATTTGTGCCAAGCACTGTTCTGTATGCTTCACATATATTAACTTATTTAATCCTCATGACAGTCCTATGAATAGTCTCAACTGACTGTCCTGTTATTTTGAAAGAATAGATGTGGGTTTTTCCTTTGCTATGATTCTTCTTTTATATTTATGTTCCGTCTTTGTTCTTTTGGCATATACATATATATTAATAAAGAAGAAACTGTTTATATATATTCATGTTTAGAAGGCAACTGTCAAAAGGCTTGTTCTAGTTTAACATAGAATGCAACCTTATGCATATTATAATGTTCATCTTTTTTTCCCACAACTAAAAATTTTATGTCTTGATCTCCCCTCCCCCATTTGAAAGGCAAGGTGACATTTTCAGTTTAGGGGATCAACACTGACTAAACCAATTTTTAAAATTATTTTCTAATAGAATGGCCATCAGCCCAGGAAGTGATGCGGCCTTCTCCAGTCAGAAATCATCGCTTTCCGAGAGTCCTCGAACAAAGAAATTTCCACTAACTGAAGAGGAGATATTTTATATGAACTGTAGAGCTGCCTACTTAACTGTTTTCAAAAGCAGCTTAGAAAACATTATTTCTAAAGATCAACTTTACTTAGGTAAAAAAAAAAATTTTTTTAATTTAAGTATTTTGCCTTATTTGTTGAAAGTTCATAGGTCAGAAAGACTGGAATTAGAATTACATTGTTGAATCGTCCAAATTTTAGTGGTTTGAGCATTGGAACTACTACATGATGCTATTGTGTCATTTTATATAGTTCCATATTGTAGGATCTTCAAAATAAAACTTTCAATGTTTATACAGGATAGAATAGTATTTTTAAACCTTCTATCAATTATTTGCTTAAAAATATTTTTTAAATTCTCATTTTGGTACTTTAAGATTTACAATAGAATTAAAACACTTTTGGCATCTGAACCACTACTTTGAATTTGACCTATATTAATGAAAATGTAAAGGATATATAAAAATGGTTATAAAAGAGAAGTATTAGGAAATAAGTGAAATTTTAAGAGTTCTGGGTTTGGTTTGGGTTTGGTTTAGTTTTGTGTGTGGGGAATAAGGGGGGTTGGTCTTCTTTTGCTTCTCTCCATTATATCTTGAATTCCTCTGGTTGCAAATATCCCCCAAAACAATGAATTTAGTCCTTGCTAGGTGTATCAAACAGCTTGGAGGCCTTTAGTTTTAAGAGAGTGGTATACAACAACACTGAATACACGTTATTTTCATCAAGGCTAATAACTTTATGAGTAGAGAAATTAAGTTCTTTTGCCAACTTTAGAAGTACTTTCCTTAAATAAAAAATCTGACATATTTTTGCAACGTCTTGGATTTGTACTAGTAAGATCTCTATTTGAGGAAATCCATTTTGGTGAATATGAAATAGTTTACATTTTACTATAAATTATAGTTTTAGTTTTTTCTCTTTATTCTTTTGCAAATAGGCCAAGATCACAAAAGTTTAAGTATAACATTCCTTCTGCTACTATGGCATTTAGTTTGTGACTCAATGAGTATATATCACTATGGTGCTAATCAGCTTTACAGAATTATCTGGGAGGATAATAATGTAGTGTTTGTCTCTTCAATGCTATATACACTTTTGGTTTTATGGTGGAATACTCTTTGTAACATTGTAATGATTGATTTCACTTAATCTAGATTTTTAAGAAGTGGTAATGTGAACCAGGGATGTCTCTTTCTTGTTACTATGTCTTTCACCTATATCCTTCTGCCAGTGCTGCCCATAACCTGTGTTTTGACTTTCCATTTCAAGGTCAGATAGGGCAGTGCCAGTACCCAAACTTTAGAATTCCTTTTCCTCTCCATCTTATAAATAATACAGGTATTATAGACTCATGTCAAAGATTAAAGTAAGCCCTGGCTAAACATCTGCAGTTACATAATGTTTTTACTGTTATCAGACTTAATAATGGGCTCCAACTGATGCTTAAATTGGAGGTTAAAGTTAGGCTAGAAGTTACTAAATTATATCTATTTCTTAAATATGGGAATATCTACTTACTGAGTACATCTTTTGGACATAATGAATTTTAGCTGTTCTGTAATTAACAGTATCTTTTAAAGATGTTTTGTTATTGAGGCTAGCAACAGGCATATGCTGAGCTATTAATTGTGGGAAAGCGTTCTCAAAACTGAATGAAATACCATTTTCTTTTACATGGGCTTTTGACTTCAAATCACAACTTCATTTAGGTCCTACTTGTATTCCTGGCTTTTAAAGGGTAAACGTTGGCTGGAGATGGAATGCTAAAACGTTTATCTTTATTCTCTTGATAGATGAATTAAGGAATTGTCCATTTATAAACTAGGCAAAGTACTTATCTTTATTCCTAGGGCAGCATGGTAATCAGGGTTTTTGTCTACTTCCAGAATAAACCTATGGAAATAAAGAACTTATATTATCTCACTTTTACTGATTTCCACAAAGGCTTTCTAGATGAACGGAAGATTTCAATTACCACAACTACACCTTTTGTTAGTTCTGAAAGTCACTTCTAGATGATGATCTTGTTTCTGTTTCTGTGCCAAAGTTTTATCTAGGATGATGCACTGGCATAATCTGGAGGATGGGAGCATTTCTCTTGGCCTATGGGCTTCTAATATGTTATTAACCATAAAGCATGACCACAGGTAGCAATTTTACACTTCAGGTGTGGACTTTCTATTTAGATCGTTATACTTAGGAACCAAGAAGCT